TACGGGAGCCACTGGCCACATGTGCTTACTGGACACTTGATGTGTGGCTAGTCCTCCAAACTGAGGTAAGCTAATTATCCTTTTCTTTTTTAAGTAGTGCTAATTTGCCTTTTCTTTTTTTATAATATGATGACTAGAAAAGTTCATAAATTACACATAAGTCTCGCATTTATATTTCTCTTGGAAGGAACTGCTCTAAACACAGCATCGTGCCAAATCCTTAGCACAGCCCGATAGAGTTATGCTATTCTCATTTCTGTTTTACAGAGATAACAGTCAAGCCCTGAGAGGTTAAGAAACTTGTCCAAAGACACACAGCCAGTAAGAAGGAAAAAAAAGAAAGAAAGAAAAGAAAAAAAGAAACAAGGGAGCACAAGAATGGCAACAGAGAGATCTGTAAGGAGGTGAGCGATGGGAACGGCTTGGCCTAGGGCAGTGGCAGGGAGACGAAGAAAAGTGAGCAGGTGCAGATGCATTCTTAGGCAGAAATAGATGCCAGGGTTGTGTGTGAGGAGGGGAAAGGATGACTCCAGGCGTCTGGCCTGAGGCACAGGAGCATTTGGGGTCACAGGACCAAAGTGACACTGGGAAAGAGGTGCAGAAATAATGTTCAATCCCAACTTTTCCATTTACTGAGTGTCTTATCCGGAAGTTATGTCACCTCTCAGGACTCAGTTTCCTCAGCTGGAAAATGGAAATCATAGACCCTCTCATCACAGGGACATCATAAAGGAGAAAACAGAATGATGAATATGGAAGTGGTGCCTAGGTGTTTGTTGGTTAGTTGTTTAAGAAGAGAGAGAGAGATGTTTCGGAACCTGAAACAGTCCTGTCCTCCACTCTTCTGTCATTTCCCCAGGCTGCTCAGTCAATGATTAGCTCCTGGACCACCTCCCCAGGGAAGCACATCAAAGAGAGCACAAGTGGAGTGGCTTCTCCCCCTCCAGGGAGGCTGCCTAAGTAGGGTCACAGCCCCTTTCTCACGGGAGGAGCAGGGCCAGGGCCACAGAGCAAACCAACTCACAATGTCAGGTCAGCCCCAGGGCAGAGATGTGAGAGGCAGCTCCTTTTCTCCCCTGGGATTCCTTGTGCAGATGTAGAGCCACACACCTCCAGAGGCAAACTCACCCTCCTCTCAGAGAGTATCTTCGCTGTTTCAGGACAGAACCCTCCCAATCCTGCCCAGTGCCATTATCTTCGATGAGAATGGCCCCCTCTGGGGTTGTGTGGCAAGACTTCCACAAATCAAAGCCAACTGCTGGCTGCCTCAGCTAGTCCTACAAAGCCCAGGCAGATCTGAGACACGTGTTAAGGGTGTTTCGAGAGCTCTCTCCATCCATTCTGTAACCCCAGGCAGGAGCACTTCCTGAGTCCTGCTCTTCCTTACATACTGCAGTGGCAGATGAAGGAGATCTGAACTGAATGCGGGGCCCTTCCACCATCCTGCCCTGGCCTCCACCCTGACCTTGGTACACTGAGTTGACGTTTCTTGCTGTCACTCCCATTAGACTGGGCAGGGTAGCCCCTACTCTCGTCTGGTGTGTGGTGCTTAGTGAAATGTTTGTTGAATGAACAATGAATAAGTCCATCTCTGCCAACAATCATTTCCCACGGAGATAGTTATATTATAATGGCAGGTTCTTTAAAACCAAGACTTTAAGAGCCAAAAGACTGACCACTCTACTAATGGCATACCCACTGTGACCTCAAGGAAAAGGAGCCTTTACAATCCTTCTCACATTTTACCAAGTAGGCAACAGCCTACTGCTCCCTGGGCTTCAGGTGGGCTGGATGGGGCTTTTGGAGGCACTCTCCAGGTGTGGTCCCAGCAGAACTCTCTGTGACAAGGCTGGCTTTTCTCACGTCTCCACCCAACTTCAGTATCTAGGCCTGGGTTATCTGGGCCACACTTCCCACACCTTCTGAAGGGCCCTCCCCTCCTGACTAATCATCACCATGGGGCTTTTCCAGGTCTCCTAGCTCTGACTATTTGTGAACACCATCATTTCTCAGCTGAGCAGTGTCTAGCTGAGCATTCGCCTCTGGTGTAAAATTTAAGGGGGCACCAAAAAACTCGGTAATTAAGATAAACAGCATTTTGATGTAATCTTTTTTAAAAATTAAAACTAATGTAAAATAACCCATGATGAACAAAATACCAAAAAAAATTAAAGATTACATTGAAATATTATTTATCTTGATTGCGGAGTTTTTTGGCGCCCCCTTAAATTGTGCACTGAGGGGAGCACCTCAGTTTCTGTCTGTGTGGAGTGGCCATTGCTAACCTCAGCTCCTGGCTCTCACTGCTGCTGGCCTTAGCGCAGACTTCAACTCGTGAGAACCCGCTTGGAGGAAGTTGGTGGGATGGTGATTGGTCTGGGGCCCTTTTACCTCTTTCAGAAAGCCATGTAAACAGATAGGCAGGGGGCCAAGTCTATTGTTCCAGAGTTTCCACAGGCTTGAATGGCCCTGGCGCTCTGCGGTCTGGTGATCAGAGGTGTAGAGGTTTCCGAACAATCCCAGGCCTTTGATATGGTTGCCAACACCCGCATTTTTCATTCTGGGAACAGTGCCACTGAGGACGAAGCCACCCTCCCCCGCCTGAGTGAGGAGGTGTCTGCTGGTGGCGGGAGGGAGGGCAAGGGTCAGGAGGACGAGGAGCCTTTCTTATGCTGGCTGCCTGTCCTTTTCCCTCTGGTACACGCTGACCTCTCCACCCCTCTGCACTTTTCAAAACCTGTACTTTTCTTATCTCTCTGACCCCCTTGGCCAAAGCAAACATACATCTCTGTTCCTCCCTCTGGAGGAGCTGTCCAAGCACTTTACAGCATGTAAAGATTTCCCTTCACTGGTTCAGAACTTGGCCGTGGCTCTGTTCTTATGTCCTGACCCCACTGCCGTTTCTTTTTTCAAAAAATACTAAAGAGAGTGAGTTATCTCATTACAGTAGCAGGAAAGACAGAACCTCAGGTTCCCCTAATGATGCCTTTAGAACTCTCTTCTGAAGAACTGGGGCATCAGATTCATCGAAAAAGTCCACTGGGGGGAGGCACCACGTGGGGATGCCCCCCAGAAGAGAGGAAATCTGGGCTAATTTGACTGCTGTTTTGGAAGAATGCAGGTGAACGAAAGGTAGTTTCCACTATGCAAAATGTTTTTTCCACTTCCTGTTCTATGCTATTTTACTTTGTTCCGGTGTTAAACCACGGAGTTTCAGAATCAGATGAAACTTACAATGCAGACCTGCCACAAGGTCTCCATCAACCCCATAACCGGGTGAGTCAACTAGATTTCACGATGCCAATCAAAGGACAGACTTTTGCAAGAGTTAGGCAGAACTCACGGTTCTGAATCAGGCTCTTAGCAGGAAGCCTGGATCTCTTGACATTTTTCTTCCTAATGCTGGCCTGATGGAGACGTGCACTTTTTCTTGGAAAGTATCTGCGTATTTTCACTTCAGCCCCCCACAACTCCCCAGGAATGACTAGGGGGTTTCTTTCGCTGTCATCTGGCCCTTGTGAGGAAGCCAGGAAATGCAGCCGGGCTGCCGGGCCTGGGAGAGCCCCTGCAACCACAGCCTGACAGCAGAGCACGCTCGCAGAACCGGAAGTGTGGGCGTGTTATGTTGCTGCGCAACCAAAGGCACCGAAGCAGCAAACCTCAGAAGGCAGAGCCCATTAAACTAGGGGGAGTTTCAAGCACTTTGTGTCCCCAGGGACCGGGCCTAGCTCCATCAAGGGAAAAGTCATCATCCAGAAGTCCTCAGTGACGCAGAGGAAGCCAGGGGAAACAGTCAATGGTCAGTCACCACTGACTCACAGTCTCAGAACGTTAGAGCAGGAACGAGCTGCGACAGTTCTGACCCCTCGCTTTGCTGATAAAGGAACCAGAAGCAGGAAAGTACTTGATCAGGGTCCCACTGCTAGAGTCAGGGCCAGCACCACCGCCCTTATGGCCTTCGGTTGCACAGCTTTGATGGTTTGCACAGCTTTGACAGTTTGCAAACTCTCTCACCTACTTTCATGGCGTTTGATCCTGAATGAAGATCAGATATTTATCTTTCAAAGGAGAGGCCAAATGAGGACTGCTTTGTTTCCTCATCTGAGAGAAGAGTCTGTTTCTAAGGGAAGCCTTATTAGGATTAACAGTTTTGGAATTCAAGAGAATATAATAAAGGACACCCCTCATCCCTTACAAAGCTCTGGGTAATTAAGGGATGGACCTGAAGAAATCAGGCAAATGGGATCAAAATATCAACTTCATCACTCAAAGGTTTTATGCTGGAGTCAGTGGTTTATATGTGTGGATAAGTGAATCCAGAATTAAGCAGGGTTCCTGCACAGGCTAGGACAGGCCTCCCAGCTGGGAGTGTCCCTGTAAACCACACATCACGGGAGAAGAGAGCCAACAGCCACTCTGGAGGAGGCCTGCTGCCGAGAGAAACAAGAGAGAGGCTGAGCTCTGCACCCTAGAACCACTACTGAGAAGCTGCTTCCTCCCCCTCCCAGCCTCCCGTCCCTCCCCACTCCCTGGGAGGAGTGAGTGGAGAAAAAGGGAGAAATCTTACACCACAAGAGCTTCCTCCATGCAGAAGGAAACGTCAAGGGTGAGGAAGAAATTTTTTCCCACCCTAATGAATATGTGTAAACACTTAGTACTTGGTACAATTGTAAGTGCTCAGTGAAAGTTAGCTGTTACTGTTCTTATTCTGGCTGTAGCCTATTAGTCACACCAGAGACTGCCTCACCTTCACCAGTGTGGCTTCTCTAATTGGGTCAGCCCTTAGATGTGGGACCTCAGGCATGGTACTTAATGTCCCTGAGTTTCAGTGTCCTCCTCTATAATAATAATAGTACCTACCCTATAACTGGGGGAAGTACATGATTTAAGTGGAAAGAACTTAGCCTGATGCCTGGAACATAGTAAATATTCAATGAATGGTGACTATTGTCATTATAAATAGAACCTGGGTCTGGGGAGGCTGTAGCTCAGTGGTAGAGCGCATACTTAGCATGCACGAGGTCCTGGGTTCAATCCCCAGTGCCTCTTCCAAATATAAATAAATAAACCCAATTACCTCCCCCTCATAAAACAAAACAAACAAACAAAAAGAACCTAGGATTTCTGAGCAAAATAAATGGAAAATTAAGGCTGAGACATGATTGATCTGGAAGAGGCATGTAAGAGGAAGGCTGGCTACTATCCACTTGAATTAGAGCAGTTGCTTCCATTGGATCTACCGTCTGGACACCTGAGAGTGTAGCCCTGGAAGCACTGCCAAACTCTTTGGGCCTTTTCCCATCACTTTCTATTCACGAAGGAGAAACTCTCAGTCTGGTGTTCAGCTTGGGAAGATGATGACATTCTTGAAGCTGTGAGCTCTTTGGGAAAGGATAGCTAAGTG